TGTTGTGTTCTTTTGTATTCCCCCCCTTAATCCCCTATGCGCATCCTGATCACCCATTAAGGGTGATTGCCCTTCTCCATCTGCATACAGTTTCATGCCCGTTGCTGGTTGGCTAACTAGCAACGGGGTCTTACCAGCCAATGGAATTGTGTGATTACAAACCAGGGGAATCCCATAAAAGAGGGCTCCCCTGGCCCAGATGCCAGTCCGGATTTACTTTATGCCTTGCCAATAAACCGAGAGCTGACTGTCACTCGACTCGTGTCTTACTGCCTGCGCGATCTAACACATGTTAAATTTCTTGAGTTCACAAGTGACAAGTGGCCACGTTTGCAGTGTGCATTTATTACATCTAATCCTTAAATAGTGTGGTTGAAAAATGTGTTGCTTCAGTCCACATGAGGATGGTTTCTGTCTGTCCTGATAATGGCCTGAATGCAAAACACTCCCTCTCAGGACATTTTCTGAGCTGTATAGATTAGAAAACACCAAGGCAACATTCTTCTGAAATGAAAAGAAGCCAGAGAGGGTCAAAACATGCTGAGTTTTCTTGTCTCAAACCAGAGGGGTGGGATGCTAGCTGGAAAAGACTCTTTTTATCAAAAAATATAATTTATAAGTTTATACCCTAATTAATCCAATCTTATAATTTATTTATTTACACTGTGGTGCTAATATCTGGACCTTCCACTTGTGCAGAAGACAGCAAAACTTATACCTTTACTATTACTATTAATAATGCATTTCTCTACATGTAGTTTCTGAAGATTCTTCCCAGGTGCAGCTTACTTACAATATTTATATATAGGCAGCTCATGAAATTAAATGAAAAATATGCAACCATACAATAAACATACATTGAAAGAAAATGTACACTGTACTTAAGACCATAGCCAAGGAAAACTAGGTATATGTATGTGCAGAAATCAGCTAAAATTAAAAGTATAGCCAGAGTTCACTTCTTGGAAAAAATTTAAATTAATACTTAATTTTTGTGCTACCCCTGAGAAAGCACTTTCTCCATACAGTAGTCTGTTTTGAAAGGAGATCCAGGTTTCACGTTGTTAAGTTAAAGACTCAATTATTCACATATGGACAATTCATATAATGAAGGGGAGTAATTCCCAAACATGTAATGCTTGTGCCTCACCACCCTGTTGAATGATACAACAGACGCTGTAGCTTAAAGCAGATGGTGGGTCACAGTTTGGAAAGCCAAGCAAAAGACTTTTAAGGTGAATACAAAGTCCAGAATGGAGATTAAGTTCTTCATTGGTTCCAGCTTCAGGACACTTACTTGAAAGAGCCAAGAGGAATCCAATGCAACACAGAAAGGCAGTGAAGAGCTTCCAAGTTTTCACCTCCATTGCTGAAAAGAAATAGAAAGAAGCATCTCATTGACTTAGAAAAGGTGTCCTTCAAAGATCACACTAGAATAAATCACCAGGAACAACTGTGAAGAGGAAGACCAAGCTCAGTTTCAACCTCTGACTCCAGGTCCCAAAAGTCCATTCTTATAGCCTAGGAGTGTCCACATCTTTTGGCATGTAGAGAAATATTTGAAATCTTCCTTGACATGCTGTCTAGAAAACATGAATGCAAGATAACCAGCCCTGAATGTTTCCCTATATTCCAACATGCAAATGAAATATTTTAATTCCATTTTTCCTTTCCATTTGTTTTTCCTTTGGTGATATTAGGTTTGGCTTTTGTTCTTCCAACTAATTTTTCCTTGTAAACTGAAGACTTGCTACAAGTCTTGGAACAGTTTTAATCTGTTGCTGTTGCTGGTTTTATTCATCAGTTTAGATATTTTGGTTTCTTCTTCACGTGCTTCAGTGTTGTAATGTTTGAATGTGGATTTTTTGCTTTTTGATATTTTTTTGTGCTTCTTATGCCATGAGGTGTATTAAGTATGTAAAAAAATTGGTCTTTCCTTATCTTTCGTAATTACTCTTTTTACTGTTTTAACTGTTTTACAATTTGCAAGATTCCCCCCCCCCCCGAAAATCTATTTGCAACCCCTGCTCCAAGGGCTTATTGGGTTTTCTTACATCTTCTAGATCCGCTTTTTCTTCTTACACATCTCCCCTTTTTCTTCCTTGCCTTGTAACAAGAAATTCAGGACAATTTTATTTTCTCCTCATCCCAAGCCTTCTGAAGTGAAGGAAGCTTGAAAAAACAAGTCTACTCAAAGCATCTTTCTACTTTGCTTCCATGGTCTATTCTCCACCCCTTTGCCTGTTTAGATCCATTTGGCTGATTCCCTGTGAAGTGAAGGTTTTTGTGTTCCCCCCATAGTGAAATGATAAAGAGATTCAGGAGGTTTTATCACTTACTGTACATGCACTGGTGGTAGAAGTGGCTCAAAGGAGGAAGAGCACCTGAGGAAGACAAAGTGGTCTCCGTGTGGTTGGTGCTGTTGTCTTGCTACAAGCCTTTTGCAGTCAGTGGCCCAGAAGGTTTCTGTTGCTAGCGGTAGTAAAAGTCAGGCAGGCAAAACTTCTTCCTGCTAGGAGAAGATAAGGCTGCCAGCTTTTGAGTTCCTAGAAAGACAACTCTGAAGGAGAAGCTCTTTGCATTAATAACAAACACTGGGTGTTAACCAACCAGAGTTAACACAACTTAGGTGGTGCCTTGCTCAATAGTAGCAACTGTGAGAGGGATCTTGGAGTCCTAGTGGACAATCACTTAAATATAAGCCAGCAGTGTGCTGCAGCTGCCAAAAAAGTCAACACAGTCTTAGGCTGCATTAACCGAGGGATAGAATCAAGTGAAGTGTTGTTTTTTTTTCAATATAAAATTTTTATTATTTTTCATCATAGAAAAAAACATCACAAATATTACACAATACTGTAAGAAAACCCACCCCCCACCCCCCCGGACTTCCCAAACCTAATCCCAGGATAATATTCAAATATAAGTAAACAAATATTAATATCTCTAACTCCACAAAGTATATTATTCTACATGAGTAGGTAAA